AGACAGGCAGACAGGCAGAGAGGCAGACAGACACATGCGCACACACATGTAGTGGACTTCACTTGGTGTAGTTAGGCAAGCCGTCCAGCAGATCGCCGCGGAGTTTCCGAAGTACCAGAGACAGGTTTCTCTGGCCGAAGGGGTTTAGTTTCTTGGTCTGTGGACGCACATTGGATTGGCTCGGGCCTGGACATCACGTGCGGGCTCTTAAGGGGGCAAAATGTTATTCTCATTCGTGTGCTGCTCATTGCTCCTGAGTTTTCAACAGTTGTTGATACATGCACAAGCGGGTGCAGTTTAAGCGAAGAATCCGGAAACATATTCAAATAATTCGCCAACCTATCCTGGCACCACTGCAAGCTTAGTTACAATAGTTAAGTTTAGCAAAAAGTGAAAGCAGATCACAGCATATGCTTTACAGGACTCAGTTCTGGCAAGCATGGGCGCGACCAGGGGCAATAGCTGCAAACTGAACACACAGCAGCAACGAGACAGGACCATCATCAACATTACATAAGACTGACTAGGGGAGCCGCGGCAACAATCAACAGGAGCCCACCTGCATGCTACTGAATTTCAGTGGGTGCCATTGAGGTTGACCGCAATATATGATGCTAGATGCCGCGTGGTGGCGTGGTTTGTACGTTGGCGGCGGCGGTGGTGGTGATGTGGCGGAGAGTGGTGAATATGAACTCTGAGTTTTCAGGTGATGCTAATCAGCATAGCCGTGGCAGAATGCACAATAGTGCACAAAGCCATCGGGCTATCCCGACAACTCCTCCATGAGGCAGAGCAGATGGACCTTCTTGGCCGTCTAGCAGAGGCAGAAGGCTGCCGCGCTAGATGTGGAAGCAGGGCTCTGGCGTACGCTTCCGGCTCTGTCATCTCGTGCTCATCTACTTAAACGGTATTATATGGTTTTGCACAGAAAGACTGAAACGCACAGCGTCGCACGAGTCGAACATCAAGCACTCAGCTGCCGGGAGCGTCGGTATGCTTCCCGGATCAGACACAGAAGCGTCAGAAGCCTGAAGTTTCTCACTTCGCCGTTGGTCTGCGTAACTAGGAAGTGGGCTCAGAATCATGGCAAGAGAAGCCGAAACATGAGCAGCGACTATAGCAACGCTGTACTCACGAAGATAGTGGTTCTGACCATGAATATTGACATGCCTTCATCGGTGACCACATCATCCAAAGCACTCTGCATAAAACAGGCTTTCCGCTGGAGCCATCCCTCCAACAGACTCTGCAGGACGCAGAGGACAGGAGTCTGAGCATGCGTTAAGACTTTAAGACTTTTGGGATGAACTCGGTTGTTCTGTGGTTTCTCTGACGCTGCAGGTCTTGCATTTCCCTTCATTCTACGTCATACGCCGCAACCTCCCCCAGCTACATGTTTGGTACATGTCCTCCGCTGGGGTTGGCTATACAGGATGTTAAAGTAGAAGGAGTGCGCCTGTTCTTACCCACGAGGCAAGCATCCCCGAGGTGCAGAAATCTGTGGCTCTGGGTACGCCCCGGACACCCATAACGGCTCGGGCAGAGGCTCCCCAAGCATCACTGCTCCAAGGGCGGGAAGCTTTCTGAAAAAAACGCACCAGACGTAATTCTCCGGACCAGCAATCCACGTAGAGTAGCGGGGCCGAAGCAAGCTTTTGCTTCAAGGAGGAGGTAGCTGGCTTCAGAGCAGAGCTGATGCAATGCCAGCACTCCTTGCAGGCCGGGACTCAGCTTCCGAGCTTTGGCTCATAACCAGGGAGCGCCGGGGTTCTGGAACATGGGAACCATGGGCATGCAACAGACTTTGACTTCGGTGTTCGGAACCGCTACGACTACGAAGTCTGGACTTAGCGTCACAGAGCCGATTTGCGCTTGGGAGTGCAGGTCGAGCTCTCATGTCACTCGCTTGCTGGGAGACAAAATGTCATGGTGCAAGCAAGCTAGGATTCCTGCAGGCAGGTGTTTTTGCACCTATAGAATGCAGAGCAGCTTTATGTTCCAATACAGTCAACAATATGCCTGATGCAGTGTTCAAGGGTACCTTTTTGGACGGCTGGGTTCTCGTGTGTGAGAGTTCGACTTTCTTGGATGCTCGGCATCGCGAGGCTGTGGGTAGAGTTTGTGTAACCGCGGATTGTGAAACTCAGTGTAAGCAGATCGCCAGCACGAGTACGATTTGGCGACTGAGACAGACCATTTGCAGCAGTTTGTTGTGCGGAGCATGCAGACTTTGTCCTCACTTCTCCCCGAAGAATTGGTTGCTTCGTGTTCAGGTGTCTGCAAAGACATTTCTACATGTCCTCGATTCCGAGAAGCCCACACTGATGCAGTGGCCTGCTCTGCAGCTAAGTGCGCCAGTCGGGTTCAGGATGCAGGGCTTTTTGGCATTGGGCCCGGAAGTCATTTGCACGAAGCATTCACGGAGGGCAGGTTTTCTGGCGCGCCTTCGCGGGAAAATATCGCCTAGCAACAAGTGAACTAGACTGGATATGAACAACACAACATCGGGCTGTGTATGGCTCGGAGCTGCAGTCCGTGTGGAATGTGTGGTCTGTCAAACTCGACTTCTGCAGCTGTTGACCCTAGAGATCCCCACATGCCCGCGAATGGTCCGGATGATGCTTCGGGTTCATGCAGGGGATATGCCTAGTGCTTCAGTACCGAACTACTTGAAAGAGCCGTTTAAGACTTAGTCACTTCACGAAACACTAAAGTGTCATTAAAGGCCGTAGCTTACAGCACATGCATCGCAGAGCGTGGCTCATGACCAGAGATGCTCCGAGACCAGTGGAATCCGAAACATGTTTGGATCCTTGGAGTCACAGCATGTCACAACAGTGCGCCCGTCCGACACCTTGCATGCCCCAACACCTAGCCGGAACGTCTATTCGGAGGCGCCTGGAAGCTTTCCATTCTTCGCTCCGTGATCCGGCGCAGCCTGGTGCGAAGAAGCCAAGCACATGAAATCTGAATTTGACGGGCTTGCGTTTTGGTTTTGTACCGTTTTGGAGACCTTCTGTCAGAGCTTTACACATGAAGCCCTGTCAATGAGCCTGCAGTGGGGCGAACTGGGTTCTTCACGTTGAGGTTCGAGGTTGTGGTACAGCTGAGAAATGCATACGTTCGTTATGTTTTTGCTTATTGTTGTCGTCTGTTTTTTTTTACCAAGTGTTTTTTTATGAAGATACTGCCCGTTGTCCACGCTGGCTGCTATTGATGTTTCGGAACAGTGCTGTAAGCAGCTTTGTTCGTGAACAGTGTTTTCAACATTCCTAAGTTGACCTTGTCTGCAGCTATACTTCCTGACAATACAGCTGTGTCGTCCGAGGCTGTTGGTGCTCACCTCAGAGACATTTGGAGAATTGGAGGCATGCACGGCTAATCCGACAGTCCGACACCCGGACCCGCTCTCAAAAGACCCCGGCATGTACGACAGCCGTTTGACACTGCAACGAAGCAACCAACAGTGCATTGCGCCGACATTACCCTGCTGTTCTTACCAGCAGCATCATCGTCAGCTTCATGACCACCATCATCACCGTCAGTCTTTCGTCAGCTTCATCACCACCATCATCACCGTCAGTCACGTTCATCATCACTTTGCAGTCATCGTTCTCATCCGCAGCAGCAGCAGCAGCAGCAGCAGCACAATGCCGCCATCATCATCATCATCATCATCATCATCATCATCACCATCGTCATCATCATCATCGTCATCATCATCATCATCATCACCATGAACAGCATGAAGACAACAGCTGGGCTAGCATCACGGTTATGATAACATCTATCATCTGCGTCCTCCTCGTCGATGCTCTCATCATCTTCACCATCATTCGTGTTGGTCAGTACCGCAACATCATCAGCATCATCGTCGTCATGACCGTCGTACTTCGCATATTGGCTCCATTAGTTTGCCTAAGGGCAGCAGCAGTGGTGGCAGTCGCTGTCGTCGTCGTAAACGGACGAATAGCACCATCACTAGTAGAGGTGGCACTACTCGTCGTCGTAGCAGGAGCAGCAGCACCACCACCACCACCACGACGACGACTACTACTACACCTACGACCTACGACCTACGACCTACGACCTACGACCTACGACCTACTACCTACTACCTACTACCTACTACTACCTACTACTACCTACAACTACAACAACTACTACTACTACTACTACTACTACTACTACTGCTACTACTACTACTACTACTACTACTACTACGACTACGACTACAACTACGACGACGACGACGACGACGACGACGACTACTACTACTACCACGAAGACTACTACTACGACGACGACCACAACGACTAGTAGTGGCATCGGCGTTGTAGTAGTAGCAGCAGTAGCAGCACTGGTAGTACGAATGCTACGAGTCGTACTAGCAATACTACCCGTGGTACTAGCACTAGTACTACTACCACTGCCAGCACTGTTCTAGTACTAGAACTAGTACTATACTTGTGCGAGTAGGAGTACTCGTGCTAGTCGTAGGACTGGCTATACTACTAGTTCTGCAGCAGTCATCGCACTACTCGTCGTCGCAGTCGTAGCCACAGCCCTAGTGGTTGAAGGAACAGTAGGAGCAGCACTGGATCCCGAGATGCGTGGATCTTGATGCTTCATTCTTTATGGTTGAGTGTTGTCGGGTATGAATTGTGCAATCGTTTTATTGCCCACCGAACCGAACACTAATTGCAACGGTCCCGTTCATGATAGCCAGACGCCTGAAGGCCCCATCGACCATGGACCCTGGGCCTAACTTTTCTTGAACAGTTTCTGAGACCAAATGCTGTGGCCATCGACCCCACCAATGTCTTTACAATGTGTTCCGTCAGCATCCAACATCAATATCACTATCAGGGCCACAATCATCAACATCGTTGTCAGCACCTTGCCAAAAACATCAACATCAGAATCGTCATGCCTGGCATCATCGCGAAAGCAGCATGACAGTGCGGGCAGTGCCTGACGGAAAGATGTGGTTGATTTTCGCCCTGTACGACCCCAGGTTTGCGAGCCTCTTTAAAGTTGGAGATCGAATTTCTGCAACTGCCAGGCCGACGATATGGCGCCCAGCAAGGCGCTGGGAAGCTCATTGTTGCATTGAGCACAACACACTTAAATATATCTCCGGCGACATTTTTGTTGAGTTCAACTCCTTTCGAATGGTAGTACCCTGTGTTTTTTGTCGACATGTCCTAGTTTGGGTTTGAAGCTCGGGAAGGTTCACATGCTCCCGAGTAGAAGCAAGAGCTTTCCCGCCGCCCAAGGTATGGTTGCATGCTTTAGCATCACATGCAACTACACTGAGCCACAGGCTGTCAAACAGGTTTGCGTTCAGCACTCCGATACCCATAGCTCGGACATCCAGACGCTTAGCCAGCCAATACGGAAACACGACCTTTGGCAGGCTATGCTTGCAGCTGAACACAGAGGCGAAGACTTGCAGTTCGAGTTCAAGGCGTCGGACCTTGCGGTCGGGAGTTGTCCAAGTATGCACAAAAGGTACGATGCGGTTCTGGGCCCAACTGAGCTCGATGTTCTAAAAACCAAGGCGGCAATATCGGATACTTGCATAGATCTCTCCAAACACCATGCGGACGAGGGCAGCCCCTTCTTGACAGGACGATGCCGAGTCCGAGTGCATTCAGTCTCGCCAGGCGGACCGAACACGAGATAGTACTTGCAAATCTGGCTGGCGTGGTTTTGTGCTGATTTCTAAAAATTCCTTACTCGTTGTGGTTCAGTTCTGTCCAGGCTTCATTCTTGATGCGATGCTGCATGGGATGCATGAGGGTTTCACCCCCACAAAAGCTGTACGGTTTCGGGGTTCCTGAAATTTGGTGAAGTTTTATATATGCTCCTGCTCCTGCGCGTATTCCTGCTGCTGCTCCTAGTACTACTGCTACAACTACTTACAGGCCATTGCTTCAGCTACTGCTCCCACTGTTATTCTCTTTTTGGCTTGTTCCTGATTGCGTGGAAAGGTTGCATCAAAGATGTTGCGTTCGCTTCATTTCTTGTGGAGGTTCATATATCATATCGTGTTTTCGAGAAGTGATGATGTCTTTCAGGGTTTCAGCCTCAGGTCGTGAAAAAAGTCTGCATAATCCAGATATCGCTGATATCGGCTTTTTGGTTCCTTGCAGCCCAACTGGGAGTATTGGAGTATGTACTTTCAAATAGACCCTTAGGCTCGGAGATATCAATATGCAAAACTTGATCCTGCAATGTCGCTGGCAACGCAACGTGAACATGGTAGCGGTGTCTACACCATGCGAAATAGGCTTGCAGGCCCAGCACAGAGTCAAATTCCCTCCGACCTTGCACCAGGCAGCCTTGCAAGAGAAGTGCGAGGATATGTCGCATTTGCAGGCCGGACCACGGACCGCAGCTGCTCATCACTTCATGCAAGAACGGCGAAAGGAAGTCCGAAAACCTGCAGGTCATCGTGACAGAGTGGACGCGCAAACATAGTGCGCTTCTCGTGGACGACTTCTCGCTGCGAGTGGCCTGGCGTGAAAGCTTTTTTGGTCTACTTGTACCGGAGCCGGGGTTTGGGGTGCGCGTTTGCTTGCTGTTTTGCAATTGCTGCGGTGTCAGCACCCAATTTCCTGATGGACCTACACGTTTTTTATTGAGGGCCTCTGTATGTAGGCCCTGTGCTGCATAGGGTTAAGGTTCTGGCATGCATGTGGGACCTTGAGTGTACTCCCCTCGGAGCGGTCTGACTGGGTCTAACGGGTGCCTGGCCCGACAGCTTCCAGACCTTGGTTTATCGTCGCCGGGTGCACCCCCTCCAAGCTGCCTTAAAGAGGTGCGGCAGCATTTTGCTGCAGATGTTTGTGCTGTCTCGCAGCTGCCCAAAAGCTTGAGTCTGAGTATCTGATGGCGGCAACAGTGCTGCCGTGGTCTGCCAACCTGTCCCGTTCAGGCTTGGGCGGCATAGGTCGCTTTTGCAACCTAAAGGCACCTGAACAGAGGTCGAACATGCTGTGCAGGCCGGTGCATGCTGGCCTGGCATCACCGCAGAGAGAGAGAGAGAGAGAGCGAGAGTGTGTATATTGACCATTCGCCCCACACCAGTCGGGGGCGCACATGCGAGCGCTGGGGAGGGATTTCCCTCCTCATCCTAACCCCGGCGAAAGAAAGAGTGTGTGTATGCATGTGTGTGTGTGGGTGTCGGATATCGGCTTACAAGAGAAACGAATTCTCAAAGGGATGGGTTCATGGCCTCCGACGGCTGTTCCATTGCTAGCAGTTTCAAGGAAGGTTCAAGGCCCGCGGATCTCTTGATCCTAGGACGAAGGTGAGCATTAC